TTTATAATATATATATATATATATATATATATATATATTAGTTAATATATTATATTATTAGAGATTTGTTTCAATTATACTTTGAAACATTATAATTAATTAAGATAAGATTTTTTTTGTCATTTTACATTTTTATCAGCTAGTTTTGTCAAACACGATTTATTCATCAGTCACCAACTAGCTTATCAACTAATTTGTCAAACATAATTGTAAAATACATAAATATTAAATTGAGTCTGTTTCTAGAAATTCTGGGCCACTAATTACAAAACCTATCCGCAAGATCGGGAAGAAGATTAGCTTACATAAAGGCAGGCGCAAGCAATTGATTAGGTCAGTTGACTTCTTAAAAAAATTAAGTACTAGAAATATGAAAAATACACCATAATTAGTATTTAATGTTATTAATTATTTCACACGAGAGGTATATATATGTATATCCTCGACACCTTGACGTTCTTGGGATTGATTTTTTATTCGTATCAGTGGCGGATCCAAGATTTTTGTCTAGTAGGGTCATCTTTAAGATAGACTAAAGGTCCACAAAATTGTGCGATGTGTTTTTAACCTAATTACAACGTTTAGAGAGATTTTTAAAGTTTTTTGGCTGATTTCGAATGATTTTTTAGTGTTTTTGTCGATTTCGAATAATTTTTTTGGTTTTTTTTTATTGATTTCAATAGATTTTTGGGTTAGAGTAACGGTTTCGATTGGGGTTGGGGGCCCGTGGAAAAATATAATTTAAATCATGTAAAATTTAAATTTTAACCTAAGATTTTTTTTTGAGTTTTGACTGGGTCCCTTCCCCCCTCTTTTTTGCTATTGTGTCCACCACTGTTCGTATTGATGTATCTTTGGATTCATATTCGTTGTATCTGTAGTTATTTTATTTTATATATCTCTCGGTCGATCTTGGCATCTTTTTAACTCAATTATCATACGAATTAATTTTACATGTGACTAAATTGCATTTGATGTAAAACATAAATTTAACGGATAGATAATTTATAATCAAAAGTTTAAAACAAATTAAACAGAAAATAGTAAAACAATATAAAAGTTACGTGTATATATATATATATATATATATATATATATTATGCTTTCTTAAAATAACATATATATAGAGAGAGGAGTTCAAACGACAACACTCATATTTTACGAAAATGCGAGAATACTTATGGAACTCCAAATTATTTAACTCATAGTTAAATTTAAAAGAAAATGGTTAAAGATAATCATATGATTTCGTATTTATCCGTTATGTTGGTGATATCGTTATCCCAAAAATCATGTAGGGATAATATACTCACCTATCACAAAGTTTTAAATCATTATCATAACAAAATTACATAATGAATAGAGAGTGATGATTGTGGAGGTGATCATCACTGGTTTTCGATTATCACATCGTTACCACAACAAAATAATTATAAAAAGTCTTGATTTCTTAAAACATTATCACATTATTATTACAGTAAAATCACATCATAAGAAGTCTTCGATTTATCAAAACATTATCACATTATTATCATAGTAAAATCATATCATTATCGCATCATTTCTACCTATGGATGTTATTTTATCATTTTCTTGAAAAAATTGTTTCATATCCACATTTTTATCGATGCACACAACGCTAAGTCATAGACCCCTCTTAGCTTCGTCTTCACCACAGACGACTAATTTTCCAATGAGTTAGATGGATATGATATATAATAAACTTGTTCAGCTTGTGATACTAGGATAAATTGGTCGTTTGAACGAAGCCTTGATCCGTGTTTGACATCCACAAGATTATGTTTTGTGTTAATTCGGACGTTGTTAACTGTATCAAACCATGTACATATGAATATCGAGACAGCACAACGACCGAGTCCAAATTTTGTAGCGGATTTTCTTATTGATAAATAAATTAATATTCTACCACAAATCCGCCACAAAATTTAATTTATAATTAATTTTTTCAAAAAATTATGGCAAATCCTTTAGAAAAATCCGTTGATGAAATCCTGACCTCAAGCTAAGATTAAGCTGCAATTGGACATCGTGTCTCCCGTGAAGCTTTTGAAGATTAAAGAACATCATCAAGTAGTGATTTAATTAAGGGATAAAATCAAATTTAAGATAACAGAAAATTGTTGATAAATATTAATCTATTTTAATTTTTATTTTGTGTAAATTAATTTGGAGGCCCAGAAGTGTTATAGTATTTTAATAAAACATGTGCATTCTCGTTTGAACCCTTCCCTATATATAATTGAGCGAAATCAATGGAAATGATGTATGATCTTCTGGAACAGGTTAAGGTGGATGGAATCTTGACCCGATGTTCAAACTTCAGTGCAGACGATCTCAAGACATGAAGATCCACCTTTTCAAAGATGACCTTGAAACAAACCAATCTATGATAGATTTTCTTATAGTAGAATAAACTTTTGTAAGATACTGATAATTATACTCATCGATTTTTACAAAAGCTCATGGACCACTAACATGAATCACATCACTACCAATATAACATGAGTTATCAATGATTACATTAATGATATGGTTTTCTCTGAAATAGTATATTGATTTTGTAATTCGTAAAGCGCTCAAAAGATGCTGTATATTTCGTGAGAGAATAATGAGGCGAGAGTTAT